TAGAGTTAGAGTACGGTGGTATGACTACATCACTGTCGTGATCATAACCAACTCTTTCTCACAACCCTGACTAGTTGGTTTCCACTCTGGTCCTGGAAGGGAGAAGATGCAAGAACTTGTACATGACTCGTCAATACGATCCACCCATAAGTAGGTTTACACTCCTATGGCAGAATCTCTCGTTTCATTCTAGGTCGGATACTTAATGAAAACTTTCGAGGCACTAACTATCTAGATCAGACACGAGGTGATCAATCAAGTATACATCATTAAGAACAAGAATAAACAAAGAACATAAATGAAATCCCAGATCTAAAAACCTAGATGTCTTATTCGATTATGAGAATTCCTTTAAGGAACCCTATGCCCAACTCAGGATCTACTCACACATAGCTGAGGTCGACATCATCATTAGTGTTAATAAAAGCAATTAAAACAGTAAAGAAAGCTTATCTTTTGATGAACTCAAGGTTGAGAAATATTCTCTACAAATCGCTGAAAACGGCGAAGAAAGTTCATGTAAAAGTCTAGAAGATATATCTAAAAATGACCTAATTGACAAGTATTAATAGTCTTTAATACTCCTGGACGTCTAGGGCTTCGGAATTAAGGTCGAGAATGACTTGGGCTTCGGAAATGGGCTTTTCTTCACGGAGATAGCTTGCCGCGGTCGCATGGTGCATGACTGTGGAGAAGAAAGGGTTGGCCGCGGTTGTATGGAGCTGGCCGCGGTGATTGGCTGGCTGGCCGCAGTCACAAAGCTTCAAGGCCATCTTCAACGGTCTCTAGGGCAAATAGAATATCTTCAGATTCAATCGTTGGAATGTCTCCAAACCAATTGCATTTGAAAGATGGTTGAGTCTTCTACTATGTGTCAAAATTTAGGGATGATCAGACGATGAGAAGGTCTTCGTCTCTTCTTGGGAGTTCTGACGGTCTGAATTTATCCAAAAGTGTTGTTTTGTTCTAATTTGCACATTTTTCTCCCAAGTTTCCTGAAAAGTCTTTTAATATCCAAAAGTAGAAACACTTTGTAAACCTTTGAAAACGGATTAAAAACACATGCAAAAGATATTAATGTGATCCATAAAAATGGTTAAAAACCGGTGTTATCAGCTCTTCCAAACTTAGACTTTTGTTTGTCCTCAAACAAAGATCTAGCCTCGGCAAGAGGTTTTGAAAACGCAGGTGAAAGTGATTCTCTTTTCTTAACTTCCTCATGTACAGATTACAATCAGTATATATACAAAGAGTTACACAGATCCTATATATTAGGTAATTCAAAATTGAACCGAAGAGAAGTGGAGAAGTGGAGGGCTTAGAATTTAGGAGAATGTAGTCATAGTCTTTTACCCTCCCTCAGTTGAAGCGTCGGAGCATCTGACATTTAAACTGCTTCGAAATTCATTGAACAAGGTTGTAGGCAATCCTTTTGTGAATATATCAGCATATTGCAACGGAGAAGGAACATGTAAGACTTTGAGCTGGCCCAGAGCCACCTTCTCATGAACAAAGTGAAGGTCTATTTCAATATGCTTTGTTCTCTGGTGTTGAACATGATTTTTGGACATGTAAACCCAGCTGATATTGTCGCCGTAGATTAGGGTAGCTGACTTCACTCGAAGATGGAGCTCAAGGAGGAGGTTTCTTAACCAGCATGTTTCAGCTATGGTGTTAGCAACACCTTTGTATTCGGACTCGGCACTGGATCGAGAAACAGTTGGTTGTCTTTTATAAGACCAGGAATTGAGATTGTCACCAAGATAAACAGAGTAACCTGAGGTTGAATGCCGCATATCTGAACAGCCTGCCCAGTCAGCATCAGAGTATGCTGTTAAATTTCCCAATTTACATCAAAATATTTTCAAATTACGAAGATGTGATCCCTAAAGATATCTGATGATGTGTTTCAGAGCTTGCAAATGTTGAACTCGAGGGTCATGCATATACAAACATATATGTTGCACTACATATGTTATGTCGGATCGAGTAAACGTCAAATACTGTAACGCACCTGCAAGGCTTCGATATTCAGTCAGATTTGAGATTAGATCTCCAGCATCTGCAGAGAGTTTAGAATTGACGTTAACTGGTGTAGCTAGCGGTTTGCAGTCACTCATTCCAGCCTTCTGAATGATGTCTTTGGCATACTAACTTTGAGAAAGATGAATGCCAGAGGCATTATAGTCGACTTTGATTCCCAAAAAGTAGGGCAAACGTCCCATATCTGTTATTGGAGATTCCTTTTCAGGGAACTTGTGATATCATCAAGAAGAGATTTGCTAGAGCCGGTGAGAATTATATCGTCGACATAAGCAGGAGGTAGGTTATGGATGTTCCTCTTTTGTATACAAACAGTGATGGCTCGCATCTGCTCCTAACAAACCAAAGAGCAGACAAGAAAGTGGAAAACCTGGCATTCCAAGCACGAGGAGCTTGTTCTAATCCGTAAATAGCCTTGTTAAGCTTGCAGACATAGTGCGGATGAGTCTTGCTAACAAATCCTGGTGGCTGATGCATATAAATTGTCTCTGTAAGAGTGCCATGAAGAAACACATTTTTAACGTCAAGCTGATTGATGTGCCAGTTGCTTGAAACAGCCACATGAAGAACTGTCCGTATTGTCGCTGGCTTGATGACCGGCGAGAACATTTCATCATAATTGATCCCTTCAGCCTCTGTTTTTCCATTTGCAATTAACTGCGCTTTGTAGTGAGTTAAGACACCATCTGCATCATGTTTATGTATAAACAACCAAATAGAATTAACAATGTTAGCTCCTTGTGGACGAGGTAAAAGGCTCAAGTCTTATTGTCAATGTGAGCACTGTACTCATCATTTATGGCAGGATTCCAGTTTGGATATAGAAGAGCTTTTTGGTAAGTGGTGGGGAGAAGAGAAACAGTAGATGTGGGAAGAGAGACAATTTTGGTTTAGTTAATACCGCTGCGACTGCGCGACGTCATTGGATGACGATGAGGAGCTTATGGGAGAGTGGGCTGGAAGTTATTTGTGGATGAAGGTGGCAAATCAGGTGGTGTTATGGGGAGAGGTAGAGAAAGCGATTGGAGTATTTGACGAAAGAGTGGAGAAGGTTCATCTGTAGCGTCCAAAAAATCTTACGAAGAGGATGAGTGAGATTTTGGTTTAGCTGCAGGAAAAAATGTTTCGTTAAATATCACATGTCGCGAGATGATGATCTTATTATTTTGAAGATCTAGACAGCGATAGCCACAATGTTGAATCGGGTAACCAAGAAATTGACAGGGAGTTGAGCGAGGGGAAAGTTTGTGAGAGGTGGAGTGATTAACGTTGGGATAGCAAAGACACCCGAAAACACGTAAGTGGGTTTAAGAAGGGGTTTTGTGGAATAGAAGTGAGAATGTAGATTTATTGTTTATAGAAGAAGATGGAAGTATGTTGAGAAGATGAGTTACAACATGAAGCACCTCAACCCAATAAGATGGTGAAAGATGTGCTTGAAAAAGAAGAGCATGGATGGTGTTATTTATTGTTCGAATCATTCGTTCAGATTTGCCATTTTGCTGAGAAGTGTATGGGCAAGAGAAACAAACAAGGATGCCATGGGTAGAAAAATGTTGCTGGAACTGAGCATTTGCATACCATTATTACATTGGAAGGCTTTGATGTTGGTGTTGAATTGAGTTTGAACATACGAAGAGAAGTGAAGGAATTTCGAAAAAACTTCACTTTTATGACGAATTGGGTAAACCCAAAGAAAATGGGAGCAGCCATCAAGGAATAACACATAATATCGAATTCCACTAATGCTGGATATTGGCGATGTCCAAATATCTGAATGTATTAAATCAAATGGTTGAGAAGAAATAGAGTTAGATTTTTGAAAAGGAAGTTTCAATTGTTCCCCAATTTGACAAGCATTACAACAAGATTGCAATGTGTCCTTAGTACAAGCAAAGGAGTTAGAGGAAATCAGAGATCGAAGCGCTTCATTATTGGTGTGACCGAGACGTTGATGTCCAAGAGAAGGAGAGACTGATAAAAAGAGCTGAGTGAGTCACAGCAGAATTGTTGAGAAGAGGCAGCATGGGATAGAGATCGCCATTGCTCCCACTGCGGTGTATTGTTTTCTGGGTGAGAAGATCCTTCACAGAAAAACCATATGGATCAAATTCTACAGAACAACTATTATCTTTAGTAAACCGACAGACGGAGATCAGATTTTTTATATTTTATTGTGTGATGAGAATGTTATGAAGATTGAGTGAATGAGAACAGGTAGGAAAAGAAGAGAATCCAAAATAGAGAACTGGTATGAAAGATCATTTCTGACCATAACTGATGTTCCGGTATTCAAATTGATAACAGATTGAAGCGTACCTGGTGAGGAAGCTAAATGAGCCGTAGTGTGGATCCTAAAATCCACACTCAGAGATTTAGTGTTTAGTTTAGTGAAGAAGATGATGGGCAAGAATTCTGGCAGAGATTGATGTAAAGTAAAAGACAAAGCTCGACGAATTGGATTGTATTGATAATCTAATCGGTTTACAAGTGAGTTTTTAGCTGAGAATTAGATGATCTTTTACATGGAAATAATGTACTATTTATACTGGGTAGACCGTTGCAAACTACTGCGAGATTTCCGGGATACTTTGATCTCCTCCTCTCCGAGATCTTCGGGATCTTCTCTTATCCACTCTTCCTTATTCTCGTAGCTTGCTGCGTCCTACCGAATATCCTTGTGAGATCCTTTCTCCTTTCGTTAATGGGCTTTTGGGCTGGCCAAAGCTGATGAAATGATTAAGTCGAAGTATGGGCCGGACTGGTGCTAAGTCCAACACCAACATTTGCCCCCCAGCCCATTTAGTAAGCTTCGAACTAAAGGGGCGGACTTTTTGTGGAATACTTCGATTTTCCCTCCTTTTGAGATTTTATCCGGACGGTCCAGATTGTTATTCTTGTGGAGGAAGGGCTGAGATTTTACCTATCCATTAGGGCGCAAGATTCTCTTTAATGCGATGTATCCAAATCTTACCAAGATATGGTAAAATCTTGTTTGCAGATGGCGACGAGCGGTTCAGATTTGATTTCATGGAGATTTTGTCAATCTTAATAATAGCAGTAATAATTGCTACTTTATAAGGATCAACTTCCCACATCCTTTCACCATAACTGCACGCCTCCACTTTCTACAAGGTAACTTCTCACCTTCTCTTCTTTTTTATTTTGGTTTTCAGTTCTTATCGACCTCCTTTGCTCAAAAAACCAAACCGTTTTATATTTTCGCAAAACTTTGCTTCGAGAAAGATTTCATTCCGAAACATTCTCCGATGGATCATCCCGATTTCCCAACAGTCTCAATCGTTTCGCCGAAAGAGCTTACTCGCCTCCGCCGAGTTCACGACATTCCCTCGTCGATTGAACTCGCTGTTCCAGACAGAGGAGAGACACCGAAAACCGTGCGCACGGGCTACTGCGTCGCGTACACCCCGTTCTTCGATGCGTGCGGGCTCTCTTTTCCGATCCCGCTGGGTCTCCTCGCCATCCTGGCGGATCTGCAATTGGCGTTTCCGCAGATGAACCCTAATTTTGTTCGTCACGCCTTAGCGCTCCTGGTTAGGGCGGCGGAGTCTCGGACTCCTTTTGGAATCAACGAGCTCCATCGAGTTTGCTCTATTAAGAGCAATTCGTCTTTTCCGGGGTCGTTCTATTTGTCTCCTCGGAAGAATCGAAGTATCTTTGAAGATATCCCCGCCCGTGACGATCGCTGGAAGGAGAAATATTTTTTCTTCCGGATCAACGAACACTCCGTCGCATCCTTCAATTTTAGTCGGCTGCCTACTGTTTGGTCTCCGAGAGTTGGTTAGCATTAGGGGAGTAAATTTTATTCTCGCCTTATACTTTGTACTAACTATTGTCTTTTTCATGCTGCAGTTGTTCTGGCGAACACAGGTTTAGACAAACCGCTGCTTGCTGCTTTGAAGGACGGTGATTGTTCGTGGCTCAATTTCACGAGGGAAAGAATTCGCCGTGTGCTGGGAACTGAAATCCCACAGCTCGCTCCCACTCGAGATTCTGAGGTCGATCCGTTGAACCCGCCGTCTATCAATCGTCCAGCCAATTTCCATCAGATCCCGATAGGTTAGTTCGAGCATTTTATTACCTCGAACTACGCGTTCGGTATGACGAGCTATTGTATAATTCGTCATTTTTCTCTCCAGGTACTAGCTGTCGGGAAGTTCCGGACGCTACTTCTTCAAGCACTTCGCACCATTCCTTAATCCGCAGAGCATCTAAAGGAAAAATGACGAGGAGGCCATCAGCTCGCGAGGCCGAGAAGGCAAGGAAAAACCGGGCTCAAGCTGGGAGCTCGGGAGCTGTTCGCACTGGTGAGATTCGTCGCGCTGTGAGCGACGCACTTGAGCAAGCCTCTGGGGCTTACGAGACTCCGGCCGCCGGTCTTCCCACTGACCCCACATCGAGGGCTATCTCGCTTAGTTCACGAGATTCTGAGAGGACTTCGCGTCCAAAGAAGCCAAGGGTGGAGGACCCAGCTCCGGACAGGAGGTCGAACTCCTCGAACGGGTCAGGTGGATCAATCCCGTATGGTTGGACGTTCAACCATACCAAAGGGTGCCCGATCGCTGACAACCCGGAGGGGGTAGCCTTCATCTTCCGGCACTTCAAGCCTCCGGGTTGCGTGCTGCCCCCGGTTCGAGATATGGCGGAACACGCCGCCTATGTGAAGATGATGGCAGCTCACGGCCGGGTATATGTTTGTTTGTTGTTTTTTTTTATATATTCCTGGTGTTTGCTCATGCTAACAGGCTTTCTTATGGTCAGGCTCTTGAGGCTGTCAACGAGTATTCTGCCATACTCGAAGACAAGTCCTTGACCATGCCTACCTCCGACGAACTGGAGGAGATGAAAAAGACTGTGTTCGACCTCTCTTCGAAGGTCAAGAACGCAGAAGAGAAAGAAAAGCGTCTGGAAACCCAGCTTCGGTCTGCGAAGACGGTGGCGGACTCTGCAAGCCGACGTGCTGATGATCTGACCGAGCAAGTTCGTGGTCTCAAGGGAGAGGTCGATGCGAAGGTCAGGCGGGCTGTTAGGGAAGCGAAGCGGGAGTTTGCTGAGAAATATCTGGCGATCTTCCATTCTCTCAAGGATAAGTGGGAGAAGAAGAAGGTCAAAGCTGCATGTGAGGCGGAGCTCCAGGAGGTCGAATCCAACTTGGATCTCATTAAGGACCTAATCAGCGGGGCTCTCAATGCTCCGGACGAGAAAGCTCGCCTCGAGGAGAAAATTCCCGAGCTCACTCAGAAGCACGCTGACGCGGAGGTGTCCGACTTCTCTCTTGCGAAGCTTGATTTTCCACAAATTTCGGAGGCGTCCGTGAGGCCGATGGAGGTCGATCCGGTGTCGCAGGTTCCGCTTGGACTCGACCAGTTTGGAAGTAATGCTGCTGCTGGAGGTGGAGATGAGTTGGCGGATGACTCAGCGATCCCAATGGAGAAGGAGGGTGGCGAGAACGAGCCTAAGGAGTGATCCTCCTTATTCCTTAGCCCCTCCTCTATTTCTTTTGTTTTTTATGAACTCAGTTGCCTGTAAGCCTTTTTCTTTTGTTTCCTCGCACTTTCGGTACTCTTATTGCCCGGGAGGGTTTTAATCCATACTTGGTCATTTTGCCCGGAGGGGGCTATTTTATGCTTGCTTTTGAATTAGTTTTTGCTTTTCAATTTCGTCTAAGTTATCGATTTATTTGATCGTCTTTTGAGACTTAGAAAAAGTTTCGAAAAGGCTTTTTGTTTAATTGGTGCCGAAGTGATTACTATATGATCGTTTGTGAAGATTGCATCATAGCGTTAGGTTGCGAGTAACGAACTGTGGTAGTGACTTTATTTTGTAAGCGCTAAGTCACTCAGCGAGCTACGAGCTGTAAGATCATTTTAATAGATCGTTTTATTGATAACTTACTGCGAATGACGGAGTTGCTATAGTTTTGTTTTATTCTTTGTTAGCAGACCGTAAACTATAAGTTTTGAGACCGTTTGGTGGTCGTTTGTAAACTACCTAAAGTTAGCAGCGAACTAAGCTGAGATTGTTCGGCTCAATCGATGCTTAGCGGGCTATGAGCCTCGAGCTGTGAGATCGTTTGAAGAGATCGAAAGAGAGTGTTTGGAACAAGGGTTTTTATTCACAATGCTTTTGGTTACATACATTTTTACAAAGTATTTGAGTATGTAGAGATAGTGGCTGGACTCAATGTCGAGCTGCCTACGTACCCCGTCAAGGGATCAAGCCTGAACGTAGTTCGATTATTGTCAATGCTCAGAGATGGTAACGCTTGAGATTCATAACGTTCCATGGTCTTGCCTCTGGCACTCCGTTTTTATTGTTTGCGAGCTTGTACACGCCGCTGCACACTACTTTGGTGACTCTGTACGGGCCTTCCCAGTTTGTGCCTAGCTTGCCGGCGCCTCGCTCCTTAGTGTTGTCGAATACCTTGCGTAGCACGAGGTCGCCAATACTGAAGCTCCGGTGTTTGACTCCGGAATTGTAATAGCGAGTTGCGGCCTGCTGGTAATTCTAGATGCGGACTAAGGCTCGATCTCGTTGTTCTTCGATCATATCTAGCCGATCTCTTAGCATTTCTTCATTGAGTTCTCCGTTATCCGGACAAAAGGTCCGGCGGATGCTCGGTACCGATGCTTCGGCCGGAATAATAGCTTCCATGCCATAGGCTAGAGAGAAAGATGTTTCTCCCATAGCTCGATGGGGCGTAGTTCTTCACGCCCAAAGTACCCCGGGTAGCTCGTCGCTCCACCGAGATTTCTTTGAATCCAACCTCTTTTTGAGATTGCTTAGGACTGTTTTGTTAGCAGCTTCCGCCTGCCCGTTACCTTGTGGGTATCGGGGTGTGGAAGATGTGAGCTTGATTTTCTAAGTGTTACAGAATCTTGTGAATTTTCTTGAAGTTAGGTTCGTCCCGTTGTCCGTTACGATCTCGTAAGGGAGGCCGTGTCTGCAGACAATGTTTTTCCAGACGAAATTTTTGACTTCAGATCCGGTGATTTGCTGGTAAGCTCGGGCCTCTATCCATTTAGTGAAGTAGTCAGTTAGGACGAGCAGGAAACGGACTCTAGCGCGTCCTGAGACCACTAGTGGTCCCACTACGTCCATTGACCATCTCATGAATGGATAGGGTGCAGATATCGAAGATAGCTTTTCAGCTGGTTGATGGATCATTGGTGCGTGTCTTTGACACTTGTCGCACTTTGTGGCGTAGTTTTCGCAGTCTGCAATGATAGTGGGCCAAAAGTAGCCTTGTCTTTTGATGCGGACTGCCATAACTCGTCCTCCGGAATGGCTTCCGCACATTCCTTCGTGCATTTTGGCCATAATTGTTAGGGCCTCGATACCGTGCACGCACAAGAGGTAAGGTTCTATCAAGCTACGCTTGTATAGTTTACCTTCCATTATGCAGTATCGAGCACTTTGAGCTTTTAATTTTCTTGCTGCCCATTTGTCGGTGGGAGCTATACCGTTCTGAATATACTCCATGATAGGAGTTCTCCAGTCTGGTCTGTCTAAGAACTCTTTGCAGTCATCCAGTTCAGGCTCGGGCTCTGGATGAGCAGACTGGTTCTCGGGATTAGGCGGTGCACTGATCGAGTTGTCGGGCTGGTTAGTCGTGGCTCCTGGCCCCGGTCTATTGGATGGCCCGGCCTCGTCTGAGGTGGTTACTACGTTGACTGCCTTGGGAGCTAGGTCGATGCTCGGTTTTTCGATTCCTTCTACGGGAATCACCCTCTTGACCATTGGGTCGGAGGTGGATGCTAGAGCTGCCAAGGCGTCGGCGGAGGTATTTTCCCCCCGAGGAATTCTGGTCAGCTCGAACGAGCTAAACTGATTTGCTATTTGGGGTACGATGTTTAAGTATGCTTCCATCCGTTCGTCTTTTGCTACGTAGTCGCCATGAAATTGGCTGGTTACGAGCTGAGAGTCGCTGAATGCGCTTATTTCCCGAACTCCGATCCCGAGGGCTAGCCTGAGACCGGCTATGAGGGCTTCGTGCTCGGCCTCATTGTTGGAGGCCTGGAACTCTAGTCTGAAAGACTGTTCGAGGACTTCATTTTTTGGGGAAACCAGTTTGATTCCAACTCCTGATCCTTGTTTTGATGACGCTCCGTCTACGTGGAGTGTCCACTTCTGGCTAGACGGTGATGCATCGTCAGGATCTGGGGTAAGCTCGATGACGAAGTCCGCTAAGACTTGGGCTTTCGCGCAGGTCCGGATTTTGTAATCTATATCATATTCGCTTAGCTCGATGGCCCACTTCGCAAGCCGTTCGGATTGGCTCGGACTGTGCAATATAGTGCGAAGGGGTTGGGAGGTCATTACTACTATGGAATGTGACTGAAAATATGGTCGTAACTTTCTGGCGGACATCATGACCGCTAGAGCCAGTTTTTCCATAGCAGGGTACCTTGTTTCGGCGTCTACTAGCGTTTTGCTTACATAGTAGATGGGTTTCTGTTCGTTCTGTTCTTCTCGAACGAGCACACCGCTTACTGCGGCTGGAGATACCGCTACGTAGAGATACAAAGGCTCTCCTTCGACTGGCTTGGCTAGTATGGGCGGTTCACTCAAGTATGCCTTGAGTTGTTTGAACGCTGTTTCGCACTCATCGTTCCATTGGAACTTTTTGTTTCCTTTTAGTAGTTGGTAAAAGGGTAAGCACTTGTCAGTTGACCTCGAAATAAAACGGTTAAGAGATGTTATTCGCCCTGTTAACCTTTGGACATCCCTCGTGGTTTTGGGGGATGGCATTTCGAGGAAGGTTGCAATCTGTTTAGGATTTGCTTCTATTCCTCTTTCGGTTACGATGTAACCTAGGAATTCTCCAGATGGTACTCCGAACGAGCATTTGGTCAGATTGAGTTTCATTCCGTACTGATTCAGTATTGCGAAGCACTCTTTGAGCTGTGCAACATGGTCTTTTTCTTTCGAAGACTTAACGAGCATGTCGTCGATATAGACTTCCATGGGCTTACCGAGCTGTTTAGCAAACATTTTATTGACTAGGCGCTGGTAAGTAGCTCCCGCGTTCTTTAGGCCGAATGACATTACTTTGTAGCAATATGTACCACGATCTGTTATAAACGCGGTCTTTTCCTGATCCTCAGGGTTCATGAGTATTTGGTTGTACCCTGAGAAGGCATCCATGAAAGACAATAGTTCGTGTCCTGCTGTAGCTTCTACCAATCGATCTATGTGAGGGAGTGGGAAGCTATCCTTCGGACATGCTTTGTTTAGGTCGGTGAAGTCTACACAGACTCTCCACTTTCCGTTTTTCTTTTTTACCACGACTGGATTGGCTAGCAAATCTGGGTACTTAACTTCCCTTATTGAGCCGACTTTTAGTAGTCGGTCCACCTCGTCATTTACTGCTTTGGCTCGGTCTGGACTGAGCTTGCGGCGTTTTTGAAGGTCGGGTTGACGTTCAGTTC